CTCCTATAGCCCATTCTATACAGATCCATTTGACAACTTAGGAAGTGTAATTATGCAAGGCAGACTACGGATATTGGGACATGGCTATGTTGTTTGGCGTCTTCTAGTGCACCATCTGACTTCCATAAAATTTGTACAACCTAAAGGTTATGGGTTGTAGATTCACCTGGGGCTCTTGCCATTTGAGGGAGTAATGAGAAGGGCGAACCGAAAAATCATCCGAGTAGTGGCTTTAGACTCTGACCCCATAGTATGATTACTTCTATTCCAAAGCAGTGCACTAAGTCAAATACGTTCTGCAGCAACCTCGTGCCTAAAGCAGGTCCAAATGAGGCATCCAAACTAGGAATGTCTCAAAATAAGATTGTATTCCAATGGAGCTCTGATTCACGGAAGTAACTTAGTAAAGTCAGTTAAGTGTAATTTGATCAGAAACAGTTAATTCTGACATATAGGTCATTTCTTATAAAAAAAATTAAGGATTATGCTATTCACACACCTATTTTTTCCTCTTACACACTATTGTTAATTTTTTACCATTGATCTAATTCAATTCATTTGATCCGATGGCCGACAATTAAGAGGGGTGTGTTAAAAGTAAAAATGGGCGTGTAGGTAGCATTACCCAAAATTAATTGATTATTTCAAGTTGAATGTAAGTAGAAAATTAATTTCCTCATTTGGTGGATGCGGAAGCAATGTATTAAGGGATGTGTTATCCACACACCTCTTTTTACTTCTCACACACCCCTTATTAATTTATGTCCCTTGATCTTTTTAATTCAGTCGATCTGACTGTCACAAGTTAAGATGGTGTGTATGAAGTAAAAAGGGGTATGTGGATAGCACACCCTTGTATTAAAAGGAGAATGTGGATATAAAAATATATATTGACCTTTTATATATAACAAATTTCACATTGAATTAGTCATTTATTTAAGAAAAGAATCTATAAAACGTTGCAATCATATTTAGAATAGGAATGTGATTGTATAAATCCCAGTGTATCTAGGGATATCTTTGAATATTCCCTGTAGTAGTTAATATCTTATTAGAGATGTAATCTTATAAGTGTAAGGATTTAACCTATCATACTACTATAAATAAAGGCACAATGGGGTGATACAACACACACCTCACAATTAAATCTCTCTTTTCTCTCTCTTCTCTCTTATATTGTCGTCGGCCTCCCCCTCTCTATCCCCTTAGAATAGTTCAATTAAATAGGCCTACAACATGTTATCAGCATGCTCTTACCAGAAGCTAAGGAATTGAAGGATCGTAGAAGGGGGCTCTCTTCTACAATATTCAAAGGCTTTTATTTGTTTTCTGCCAATCAGGTACACTTAAAATAAAGTAAGATATTTGAAATGTCCATGAAGCATGAAAACATTCCCCATGATGCATGAACCCCCTACATTTAAATTTTCATTCCGATATGTGTGTGTGTGTGTGTGTGTATATATTGTATATGATTCATATATTTGTCAATATATATATATATATGTATGTATATGTGTGTATATATATATATATATATGTTTCATGCATTACACAATTATTTTGCTATGTGGAATTTGTGAGTCAAAGCATATAAAATAAATTAGAAGCAATTTAGGGTCTTTCAAACCCTAGAGATGTCAAAAAAAAAAAATTTAGAAAATACGGCATAGCCGCCGCCACGCCGTCGTGGCACAACTGCTCTGGCCTGTAGCTAAACCACGTGGGGCACACTACTAGGTCGACGTTGTTTTGATGTCTAACCCATGGTTACAGCCTTTTGGGCTTGCCGCAAGAAAAGAACACTCGGTTGGGCTTCTCTGCACCAACTCGCAGGCCAGTATTCACTGGCCTACACCCGTGTCCAATTTTTGGCCTAAAGCCAACAAGTTTTTATGTTGGGCTCCCCATACCACACGGCCCAGAGGCCTGCAACCCCACTACTACAAAAGTGGCTTATTGTGTCGGTCGTCGGTGTCAGTTTTATATAATATACTGGCGGATAAGACATTTTTGACACTCTCTTTATATGGTGTTGAAATTAATGTCGGGTATAACCGACATAAAATATCTATGTCGCTTACAACTGACATAGATTGTTAATGTCGCTTATAACCGACATAGCTTTTAATCTTTTTAAATGGCGGTGTCATATAAAAAAAGAATCGTGTCGCTTTGGCCCGACATTAATAATTATTTTTAAAATATTGTAAAACCTAGTGTCGATTCTAGCCGACACTAATAATTGCATTAGGGATTGGAATGTTTTATTTGGGTTTTAAAACCCACTTTTGTCAACATCTATCAAACATTTCCCTTTTTTAATACACTATCATTCTCCTTCCATTACTTCACTTGACTCTCTCTCTTTACACACAAATCACATCATTTTTTCTTACCTTCTTTTTGGCTAATTCCCTCACATGGGTTTCTTTCTCTCTCTGACACACATGCCTCATTTCTCTCACTTCCTTTCTTTTCTTGTTTTTCTTATTATTTTTCTAACCGGTTCTTCTTCACCCCCTCTCTTTTCCATCTCCCTCACATCTCTCTCTGTACCCACCCACTCAACCTTCCTGCATCATTTTCTCTTTTTCCTATCCTCTCTCTCTCTTTCCTCGACTTCTCCATTTCCCATCCCTCCATCTTCTTATCTTCTGAATATCCACAAATCAAAACACTGCAAACATCTCCCTTTAGCCTATAAATCAAAACCAGCCAAGTTGTATCCTTTCCTCTATCTCTCCACTACACATCTCCCTCTATCCCACCAACACACTTTTCCGTTTCCACACACGGAGCTTATAGATCTAGTAAGGACGCCAAGCTTAGTTCTGCATAATGTGTTCCACCACTGTTCATTGCATACCCCAACTAGTTCTCGAGCTCTTGACTTGGGAAGCCTCCATACTACTCCCTCTCATTTCAGTTTATGTTTTCTAGCTTGATTTCATGTAATCTTAGAACCCACACCGTGGTTGAAAAAATGAATGAGGGTTTTGTTCATTTTGATGTGTTTGGATGCGAAATCAATGAGAAAATTAGTGTGATTTGGAGATTTCTATGCTTAGATTGGAAAATGTAGGAAAACAGAAGTGACTTTTTGAATTTCGAGGGAATAACAATTTGTTTTCCCTCCTAAATGAATTGTTTTCATTTCCCCAAAAACTCAAAGAGAATGGAAGCCCCGAAAGCCACCAAGGACGCCAACGGAAGAAGAGGCGGAGATAGGAAAAAGTCAGTGTCCAAGTCAGTTAAAGCCGGCCTCCAATTCCCCGTTGGTTGTATAGCTCGTTTCCTCGAAAAGGGACACTACGCCCAACGTATTGATACTGGCGCTCCCATTTACCTCGCCGTAGTCCTCGAATACCTCACCACCAAGGTGATTTCCCGATCCACATTTCTCAGATCTAAACATATTCCGTTTATATATATTTTTAACTTTTGGTAATTATTATTAATAATTGAGACATATATTTTTTTATTAATAGTTTGTGGTGTCACTTATGGGCGACGTTATATTAGTTATTATATTTTTCAAATTGTTAGGTGGTGTTGGTTAGGACCGACACCAATCTGTTTCATCTGCCAGTCTTTGTTTATCACTTGGTTTATCACCAATCGAAGCTAATATGAACTGTCTATCATTATTTTGCTACCAAGATCGACCCCTTTTGGTCCCAATCTATTAAATTAATTAAAAGTGACCTACAATCCATTAATCTGATAATTAATCCAAAATTATTAACTTGAAGATCACTTTTGGGCATTAATGATTCAATAATTTATTTTTATATTTTGAACCGTTAACATCCTTTCATAGTCCGAAGCTCTCACACTTGAGTTCCTAAAGCAACTCAAATCCACTACACTTCAATCAGCATATTGCATTCTATGTTCTTGCAGGAACCTCTCCTTTATGAACTAATCGTTCATAAAACTAAATTGAACCTGTTATTTTTATCCAATACATGTCTATCGAACCCGAATGTTCTACAATGTATGTCTATAGATTACGATTTGACTAACTATGTTTTGTTGTACCCTCCGTTTTAGGGACATGTCGAACTTAAACAAGCACAATTTCACCTCTGTAGAAGTATCTGGTAGAAACTACCTAAAGTGGGTTCAAGACATGAAGCCCCATCTTACTGCAAAGAGATTAGAGCCACTATCGAGCCACTTACCAACATCAACCTCGTCGATGAAGCTCAGAAAGCTACTGCAATGATCTTCATTCGAAGACACATCCATGATGCACTGCAGACCGAGTACCTCGCTGAGGAGGACTATCACGCCCCGAACCCAGGGTCGGTGGAAAATTCGATCCCAAGTCCGAAACGCGAACTAAAAACTAAATAAATAAAATAAAACGGAAACGTGTTGGAAAATAAAATTCTTCTTATTTAAAATAACTCAATAATTCTTTACAAGGCTAAATAAATAAATACAATTCTAGCCTCACATCTATCTCGTCTCATCCCGTCTACCCTTTTGACATTTTAGTTAATAAACGTGCATAACAATAGAGGGGTGAGCTTCAACAGCTCAGTAGGGACATAACCTTATCACATTAAACTAATAATATTAAATTACGTGTTATTAAAATCATGTAATCAAGTACCAAATCATTATCAATAACAATGCATGAGTGCAATGCAATACTCTTCATCTTTATCCATTAATTCATATAATAAAACACGCGGACCTGCACGTCCCATACCGTGCATTTTACCTCTGCAATGGTGGTTCGAATGTTCTAATATACAAATTAACCCCCTGTAACTCAATCATCCCAATTTCCCCTTTTGTTAGTCATCTTGCCAAAACCCTTCGTCGCCAGTCCCGAATTATCCTTAAAGAATATGTGCACTGTGGGCTCGCTTGAGACCTGGTACCTACTAAAAGTTGAGCTCAACTACACAAAAGATCATTTCCAACTACCCTCATTTCCAATTCCTTCTCACCACTGGAACTCCAACCACACGACCAATTATGAATGATTCACAAATACTTTCATTTATCATTCACATATACCATAGTATATTCTCAACCAATAGCATTTCACCAATAATTCCATAACCAATAACAAGTAAACACGCAAGAGCAGTATTTGTCCAATTAGAAACCCATATCACATTAATCAACCAACAAGATCGATAATAATATAATGCTTCACGAAATTTAATAAAGCCAATCTTGGTAAAGGTCTGCCGTATTTCCCCTACCTGGAGTCCAAAACAAGTAAACAATGTCCCTTACCAACACCTCGATTAAACACAACCGTTGTGGTAACTGGAGTCCCTGATCCAACAAATAAACTATATCACTGTATAATCCCTATATCTAACAACCAATATAAACTCCTTTATTTTAGAATTCCGTTATTAGCCTTAAGATCACCTTATCTCAGTTGGACCCTTAAAACATTTTTCTTTCTTATTTGGGTCCTCAAAAATTTCTCAATTATATACATGCTGCCAGCAAGCATTTGCCCACAAAACAATTCTAAAATCACAGTTTTGTCCCAAGCCTGCGGGTAAAAACAAAACTACCTAACTTTCAAAGAACTGTAAAATGGCCCAAAATCTAAAACTTCTTTTTCAGTTTGGTCCCTACAGCGTGAATAGTGATATTCAGGGTTATTTTCCAGATTGGTTCCTCCTGTCTTTCAATCCAAAACATGTCCAAACCTATTTATCATGATCTCTACGTACCAAATCACCATTCAAGTTCACCAAGTTCCCTTAATTTCGTAACAGCCACAAAATATCAAGGTTTAAAAGCCATGAAATAATTCTAGGGTTTGCAGCAGCTAAGCCCATATAGAAATTAACCTCAATTCGTTCAATTAAGCTTCGAATAAGCTTAATCCACCATAAACAACATTTAAATTTGAAGATTAAAGTTTGTGTAGGAATAAATCCCAAAAATGGCAGCTTTCAAAATCTGCAGTAAATCCATAAATTATTACCTGAGATTTGTAGTACTCTTCCCCACGAAAGCGGAATCAAATTCAGACTTCCAAATCAAAAGTTAAGAGAAAAAATGGTGTTTGGTTGAGACAAGGAGATGAAGCTCATTGCTTCCTCTTTGCATCTTTCCGTGAAGAAAAGAAGAAAGGCCATCAGGTCTTTCGATCCAATATATAGGTGCACCTGTACCGCTTTCTTCATTTGTGGTCCAATGTCTACTTGCCACGTTTCAAAGTAATATCTGCTTCTTAAGGTCCAACTAAAACCTGCCAAGTGGAAGACTTGGCACTTATTTAAGAACTCGGATCATATCCTTTTGTTGTCACCTTCAGGAGCTGTCACGTGGTGATTCGCCATTGGTCCAGCTTGTAAATTCAATTAAAACCTAAGCTCCGAAAAATCATCTGAAAGATTATACAAACTCGCAATGACATTCACTACCTTCATATGAAAACCTTTTGAATAAATTTTTTTCCAAATATTTCTCTTATTCGATAATTAATTCTTGGGATATTACAAGGACCCACGCACCCTCTAGCTTGCTCTCGTCAACCGTTTCGATCACCAAAAGACATTTACTTGCCTGAAGCAAGACACGACTGGCAGTATCTACGCTTCCAAGACTTTAAGTCTGTGAATGAATAGAACTCTGAAGTTTATAGAATCTGATCACTGCTTAAGTTATGTAAAATAGACTTAACAAATGCAGATATTCTAGAGAAAACCTATTCGACCTTCCATGCCACCAATATTGTCCTGCAGCAACAATATATAGGGCACAAAAGTTCACCAAATTTTTGGATTTGATCTCTGTTTTACTTCTTGCTGAAAGCAGAACCAACTTTTGATGAAGAATCATTAAGCTCAACCCACTGGCTTGAACCCTATGCCTGAAGCACAGGCTACTAATTCTAGTAGCCACAAACGACGAAAGAATCGTTATGGTCATGGTAATGGGCAGCAAGCCCAACCACGGGCCCAAGGTCAACAGAGCCAAGGCCCACCCAAGGGAAGAAACTTGACCTAGAAGCACCAACCCCTTAACCCTAAGGCTCCAAACTTCAAGAACAATGGAAAAGCTACCGTTCGATCGGCTTCTACAGAAATGGATATGTGTTACCGCTGTGGATCAAAGGATCATTTGTCACATGTATGCAGAGCTACCCCCAAGGCCATTGCCAAGTATCATTCCCGTTGTGAGTCTAACTTTACCCATGTGGAACATCCTGAAGATGCTACTACATCCATGGAGATGTCAAATTTTTAGAGGTATCAGCTCCTATGGACGAATAAGTTTTATTCTTCTAGACATGATTTTAGGGTGTTTTTACCCTTAGTGGCCGAACCTACTAGGAGTGGCCGGACCTCCCCTTAATTTTTAGGTTTATGGTTTAATTTGTGGACAATTTTTCCAAGTATTTGGAATAATTTGTTTGGTTTTGGTTTGTTTTGAATTATGGATAATTATTTTATCGATATTATTTCTCGAATTGATTAATTGAATGAATGGAATTATATTTATGCATGTGACCAATTCAATCAATTTATTTCTAGGTATGTCTAGTGGGGAAGTTATTTATCTGACTAATAGTGCTACTACGCACACCATATTGCATGAGCGAAACTATTTTACTAACTTCGTACCTAAGAAAACACCTTTGACAACTCCCTAAGGATCATCCAACCTGATTGAAGGATATGGAAAGGCTCGTATTATGTTGTCTAATGGTACTATCTTAACCATTAAAGAGGCCCTCTATTCTCCACATTCTGGAAGAACGTTGTTGAGTTTTAGAGATATTCGAGATAATCAATATCATATTGAAACCACTGAAAAGAATGGTTATGAATTTCTTTGTATTACTTCTTATGAGTATTGCCAGAAGCATATTCACGAGAAGTTGGAACGTTTCCCGAGTGGGTTGTACATCATAAACATTCGCGGCATAGAAGACCACCATGTGGTCGGCCCTGTGCCTGAGTTCCAGAGCACTTTGCTACTTTGGCATGATCGTATGGGACATCCCAGACATGACATGATATGCCGTATCCTCAAACCATCACATGGGCATGATTTACCTCCTTATGTTGGATTCCCACCATGCAAAGATTGTTCTTTGGGGAAGTTGAATACTCAACCCCTAATTACAAAGATTATTCACAACCCTCCCAAGTTTCTTCAGAGGATTCAAGGGGATATTTGTGGACCTATCCAACCAACATGTGGACCATTTAATTACTTTATGGTGTTGGTTGATGCATTGACACGTTGGTCACATGTCTGTTTACTGTCCACATGCAACGCTGCATTTGCGAAACTCCTAGCACAAATTATTAAGCTAAGGGCTCACCACCCTGATTATCTGATCAAATCGATTCGACTGGATAATGTTGGAGAGTGTACATCACAAACTTTTGATGATTACTGCATGTAAGTAGGGATTGAAGTCGAGCATCATGTACTACATGTTCACGCCCAAAATGAACTGGCAAAAGCTTTCATAAATTGCCTTCAATTGATAGCTCAGACTTTGGTTATGCGAACCAAATTGCCGGTATCTGCCTGAGGCTATGCAATATTGCACACAGTTATGCTGGTCTGCCTGAGTCCCACCGCTACCTAACCTCATTCACTGTTATAGTTGGTTACTGGATACGAGCTTGATGTCTCATATTTACGGGTGTTTGGCTGCTCAGTCTATGTGCCAATAGCACCACTACTACGTACCAAAATGGGTCCTTAGAGAAAAATGGGAATCTATGTCGGTTATGATTCACCATCAATTATTCTCTATTTAGAGCCATTGACATAAGATCTCTTTACCACACGTTTTGCGAATTATCACTTTGATGAGACAGTTTTCCCGTCGTTAAGGGGAGATAAACATGCTAACATTCCTAGAGAACACTGTGAATTGTCGTGGTATACTCCCACTATATCTCATTTAGATCCCCACACTGCCCAGTATGCAACTAAAGTGCGACGATTTATAAATCTTCAAAGCATTGTTCAAAGCATGCCAGATGCTTTTACTGATCTAGCTAAGGTGAAAATATCACATATACCTACTACTAACGTACCTGCAAGGATAGACGTACCATGAGTATGCTGTAACACCACCTAGGAAAGCCGAACCATCCCCAAAGGTGGGGAGGCCGCACCTTCCATGGGGCTCGGTACATTAGCGGCTAGCCAATCATCTGCTCCGACCTTGAAGCGTGGTCCCTTGGTTTAAATGATTCACAACACCAGAAGAGGAAAACGGCACAAACTAGTGACCCTAGTCTGAATCTGACCATCGCACACTCGTATGTTCCAACGCATAAGGTTATTATAGATTACGGCGATGCCTTAAATGAGAGACAACCGTACCTCCCGAGAATTGCAAGATTTCGGTCCACTACACAATATTGGATGAGGTTTGGAATCAAAATGAGATGATCGTAGACGATGCATTTGCGTACACAATAGCTACTGACATCATGCTTAGTGATGACATTGAACCACGTTCCGTTCATGAATGCCGACATAGAACTGATTGGTCAAACTGGAAACAAGCAATCCAAATCGAACTCGATTCCCTTGCGAAACGTAAGGTGTTTGGACCTATAGCTCATACCCCACCACATGTGAAGCCCCTAGGCTATAAGTGAGTTTTCGTGACAAGCATAATTAGAAGAATGAAATAGTATGATAAAAACACGCCTCATAGGACAAGGCGTTTCTCAATGCCCTAGAATTGATTATGATGAGACGTATTCCCCTGTAATGGACGTCATAACGTTCTACTACCTTATTAGTTTGGTTGTTTTCGAAAAACTGAATATGTAGCTTATGAACGTGGTAACCGCGTATCTCTATGGGGATCTAGATACATAAATCTACATGAAAGTTTCAGAACGACTTCCATTGACTGGTTCAAATAGTTCTAGACCACGGAACACTTTCTCTATTAGATTAAGGAGATTACTCTACGGATTGAAACAATCCAGGCAGATGTGGTATAACCGTCTGAGTGAATATTTGACAAGTTAGGGTTATGTGAACAATGAATTATGCCTATGCGTGTTCATTAAGAAGTCACATTCTGTATTTGCGATCGTTGCAGTTTAAGTCGATGACATGAACCTCATCGGAACTCTTGTAGAGCTTAAAGAAATTGTCGTTCACTTGAAATCGGAATTTGAGATGAAAGATCTTAGGAAAACTTGATATTGTCTCGGCCTGAAGATTGAGCATTGTTCGGATGGAATCTTAGTACATCAATCAAACTTCACCCAAAAGGTGTTACGACGTTTTAATGAGGATAAAGCGAAGCCTTAGGTACTTCTATGGTCGTTTGGACTCTAGATGCTAAACGAAATCCCTTCCGTCCTAATGAGGATAAGGAAGAGATGTTGGAACTTGAAGTTCCATACCTATGTGCAATTGGGGCTTTATTGTACTTGCCTCAATGCACTAGACTCGACATTTCCTTCGATGTTAATCTTTTGGCAAAATACAGCAATGTGCCTACATGCAGACACTTGAATGGTGTTAAAGATACTTTTCCGCTACCTCAAGGGTACGACGGATTTGGGCTTGTTCTACATCCACGAATCCTCGAGAGGAACCGCCACCCCCCGTCGGTTCTTAGGTTCATTCTAGCCTTGTTAGTTATGCAGATGCTGGATATCTACCTGACATTGAAGCCACCGCTATATCTTTAATGTTGAAGACACCACTATATCTTAGAGATCTACCAAGCAAACGCTAGTTGCGACTTCTTCAAACCATGTTGAGATCCTTACCCTGCATGAAGCATGGCGTGAGTGCTTTTGGTTAAGAGCAGTCATAGAATATATTCGAAGCACTAGGGGTCTTATTACTGTCGTTGACCTTCCTACGACGATCTTTGGCATGTATCAAACAGTTAAAAAAGGGATACATCAAGGGAGAGAACACCAAGCACATAGTGCCAAAGTTCTTTTATTCTCACCAGCAACAACAACATCAGAACATTGAAGCCAAGCTAATCCATTCCCAAGACAACCCGGCCGATCTCTTTACCAAGTCATTGCCAATGTCTACTTTTTGTAAGCTTGTCCAAGGAATCGGCATGCGTAAATTATCTGAATTGAATTGCTTGAA